TCCTTTTGCGCGTGCGCCTGACCATATTTTTCTCTAACTGCTGCCGTCGTGCCGAGTAAGGTTGTCCAATAACGCTTAAATGTACCGCATATCGATTTTAAAGGATAATGACCCAAAAACCAAGAAGTGAGTTGAAATTTAGGATTTCAGGATTAGTTCTATGACAAACTTTGAGGTGTTTGGATACAACACCAGTTTAGTTTTCTTCAGCTGCCTGTACTCAACTGTACTAAACAACTAAAATGTGGTTGATTCTGTGATAATAGTTTGTATAGTTACGATCTCTGACTATTTCTCATCCAGCTACAGTCCTTGCCTCTCAATTTCCCTTCAATTACCGCTGAATGGCATGCGTTGTTATTTGCAGTACGTCCAGCTAGGCCTTATTAGGCTGATTTAGCAACAGAACAGGAACGTCTGTTGACGACTGCGCGCGCAAATCAAACAACTGGATTGACCAATGGCAGAGCGGCAAATTGGGTACCGGAAGTCGAGTTTAGTCCTTTCCGCGCGCTTTCCCGTCGTCAAATGACGTTCCAGTTCTGTTGCTTATTATTGCGCCAAACAACACCGCGGCAAAACGCAATGCGCATGAGCACAAAATTTAATATCCGGTCAGCTTTTTATTTCCGGTCTAGTATATTTAACAATTATTCCACGAGGGCGCGTTGGATATGAGATGATAGATAGCCAACGAGGCGCATAGCGCCGAGTTGGCTATAATCATTTCATATCCAACAAGCCCGAGTGGAATAATTGTTTTATTAAAAACGCCCACAAAATCTCGTTGAATCGCCCCGACTAGAACAAACCGGAAAAGACAAGGGACTTCCGCTATTGACATGTCACACGTCTATCAAAACTGTCAACGCGCGAACGGGCTCGCCTAGACTGCATGAATGAAAAATCAAAACATTGTGCGATGAACATTAGTTTTTTAAAAACTCATCGTGATTCTAGGATTTTACAGCAGAACAGCTTAAAAAACCTGGTAGATAATGTGAAGGAAAGGAATTTTTAAGTGACAGCCGTCGAAATTACTATGAATTTGGATTTTCGGTGCAGTTATAAAAGTAAGAACAACGGAGAAAAACTACTGGTATTACCTCGTCGCTTGTTATGAAGTTGTTTGAAGCCACAAGCTGGTTTTGCTGAACGAGAAAAGAAGCTATACTGCCGCCTCGATTGCTCTAGTGAATGGCTGCATAGCCTGTATTTGTAGCTGGTTACTTGTGATTTATATTCTTGATGTTGGATAAACAAGCTGCAGTTATCTATCGGCGAGTGACTCGATCGGCGAATGGCTTCGCGATCATGAAGAAACAACACTTGTCTTCTTTCGTAGCTGGTCAAGGTACTTTAGTTCCATGTGTTTTTCGACAAACTTTCAAACAAGCTCTTGTGGCTTTTTTGTTTGTTTTTGTCTTTTTTCTTTCGTTGAAATTGCATTTCTAGTATTCTAAGAAATGAATTAAAACAATTTGCTTCGGGCGCCGTTCTATCCTTCGCGAAAAAAAATCTCAGCTAGCTTCCAATTTTAAACTGACGCGTACACCGACCATATATGGAGAACATGGTATATTAGCTCATATACCATAACGGCTAAACCAATCAAAATGCTAGAATTGCATTATCCAATGATTCAGTTTTTAATAAAAACCAATAGCGTAAGCATAACTTTGCCGTCGCGCCAAGTTTAAAAGCAAAAAGGACGAAACAGACAAAAAAGGGGGCCAAAAAAAACACTTCATTCGAAAGCTTATATATTTTTCTATTCTCAAACTTTTGCACCACGTGGTTATCTGTTTGCACCAACGGTGAAAATCATGTTTGAAGTGTGCAGGTCGCGAGCGCTCGACATGACGAAGTTGTCATTTACCGGCTTTTTTGCATGCTACTGGTTTGGCATAAGTTAGTTTGGGAGAACGCGATAACTAAGAAAAGAATAACAATACTTATGAAAGAAACCAAAAAAACCGTCATCATTATCATTAACATTAGAACCAGAAATAAAATTTTAGTCCGTTCAACAATTTTTTTATTATCAGACAAAACAAGAACTCAAAACAAAAGATGTGCGGAATTTAATAACAACCTCGACTTTGATGACTGCAGTCACGAACACCCAGAGCTTTCAGTGCCGGGAAACTAAACATGCCTATAAATGACTTTCATTCAAGAAAATGCCTATTTAATTCTTTTACATGGTTGTTCTTTGGTTGAAGACTTCAATAATTTCAGACTGTGCGGCTCGGCTACATCTCATGCAAACACGAAACTTCCAGCTGCTAAATACATGGCATGAAAAGTTCGACTTCTAAAAGCCCGGCCATCACACCAGCTTTCGCTCTCTGATTCTGAGAATGAAAAAAATAAATAGAGTGGTCAACTTGCTGCCATCCTCAATAGTATAATAAAGTTTATGTTTCACGGCAATCAACTCAGAAGAGTTTCGTTTCAAAACACGGTAAAACTCACTGGTAAATAAAACTACAAATCGATTGTGTGTTGTCGTTTTCCAAATAAAGCTCGAATGGCCTTTAAGACATGAAGACTGAGAAATTGAAGAACTGAAAATTAAAACTACAATACACAAGCTTGCGATGATAACTTTTTATGTCTTAGTTTCAGCCGGGTTAAGTGAAAAATAACAGTCAAAAACTTTGTTTTCGTGAATGAAAATCAGTTTACCTGACGCTCTAGCCAAAATTACAGTTATTATCATCTTACCTTTTCTGAATCTAATGGACTAATTGTTTCAGTGATCTGTGCCTGGTTATCCATAAAAACAATTTCAATAAATACAAAATAGTCAAAAACACAGGCAGCATGAAGCAGAACAACTGAACCACAAGCTGCACACAGAATGAAGCCGAGCGCGCGCGGGAGACTTTGATCTGACTTGAAAGTGTGACTGAAAAAGAGACCGGAAATGCTCAACCTGGCGCATGCGTAGACGTTTTGCCGCGGTGTTGCGCCAAACCCATGAGTTTCGGGTCAAGCGGTCCGAAAGAGTTTTTCTTGGATACGTCACCGAAATGCTTTGCATGACCAAGATAGGACTGGAAAGACACCGTTCAGGGACTAGGCAAATGTTGTATTTCCTAAATAAAAACACGACCACCGAGGAGCTTATTTGAAAGAATCTGACTCGTCCCCAGTCGTCTCTCTCTCTTTTTCCTTAAGTGGCGCGAGGGGTGTGATGGGAAGGAGGAAGGCGAGTGAGAGAGTCTTCCTCCCTTTTCCTTTCCCATTACCCCCTACTTTCGACGCGAAGACGACTGGGGACGAGTCAGTGAAAGAATTACAAATCGGTTTGTTTTTAATTGTCTACGACAGATATCAGTTGATGACAGACTGTTGGAAGGAAGAACCAAAAGCTCGACCCAGTTTCTACCAGCTGATAGAAAAACTGGAGATCATCATGCAGAAGGATGCACCATATTTGGATGTGAACAAGCATAATGAGGCCCATCCATACTATAACGTGCCTCCACATCTGCAGTAACTGCTAATGAAGAACGCTACGTAGGACCAGCGGTTTCTAATTAACCTCAACATTTTATTAACTCGTCGACGGAGATTCCCTTTTTAAAATGGCCCCCTGGTTAAACTTAACCGTACAGTAAATGGCGAAATTAAGCAATTTATAAGCCAAGAGTTTTCGTAACAAAAAAAAAATAATGCAAAGTATTATGTGAAAATTTCAACGTTTACAGGTCTGATCTTATGGCGATGATTATACATCGTTTATGCGTATGAGTTATAGTTGCGTTAGCTGTTCAAAATGTGATACTGTAGAAGGAAGAGAAATCTAACATAGAAAGCTCCCTCGGAAAAATTGCCGATCTCAAAATGAGATTCGAACGCCCTTGAGTTCTAGATCGGATGCTCTAGGTACTGGGCTTCTGAAGGTGCTACGGTGTTACGTGCTTGCAACGCAGGCCTATCTTGTGGGCCGGCAAAAGCTGTTTATTTATGTTCATATTACCGTGGACAACTGAGGAAAATTGGAGAGAATAGCAGCAGCAACACTTGGGGTTTCCCTCGGAGTAGACCGTAGGGCAAAAGAAGGAGGCGGGGGATGGGGAGGGGAGAACTTCTCCCTTTACCAGGGAGGGTTTCTTTCGTTTGAAGTCAATCCGGATTTCTATTAGCCCGCGTAGCTGTTGGTTCCTTTCCAAAGTGCATGGAGCGTGCGAATTAGGCATAGACTGATAGAGTGATCGATAGATTGGATTTTCTCATAACAGACAAATCCAAAATCATATTTCCTTTCCCAAATTTTTTTCTTGAATCAGCTCTAAAAAGCCAAAGACACAGGAAAAATATTAATTATTAGTAGTTTCCAAGTGCCAGATAATTTAAATGATTCTAAGAATTTGTCATTTTATGCTATGTGATGCTAAGCGGTGCAAAAAAATAAAGTAAGCTAACAGTTGATGAATCGTATTTCAGTGGAGCTCTCGCGCGCGAAGCGCGCGCAGCGGAGCACCATGGGTGACAAAATTTGGTAAACTATCCATCCGAGAAAATTTAATTATAACGTAGAGTACGCTCGCCCACCCGTACACACACTTCATGT